TTTTTTTGACGTCACATCGTACTTCAGCTTCTCATCAAACTTTCTGTCCAATCAAATGCTCTCTAGAATCCGAAGCGCCCGCCCCCTACACTATGAAATAGAAGCGGCTGAAATCAGTCACTCGTCCACAGAATTAGTATTTTCTGTACCGTGAATGGCACGTAGTGCACTATATAGGGGACAGGGAAAGATTCAAACAGTGTAAATATGCTTTCCATTGATGAAAAAAAAATAAGTGGTTTTGCGCTGTGTCACGCCACACTCTGCTCCGGTCCAGAGACACACGATAGCACGGAGCGGATCACATGCGCGAGCCGGCACAGACCACAAAATGTATCGGAGCTATTTGAATTCTACACAGAATGCTATATTTTATAGCAATATAGATGAGATTGTGGCTGGCATACCCTGTCGAATGCGGCTTTACGGAGCTCAACGGCTCTGAACTAGTCTTGGGTCGTTCTAGAATGTGACTCAGTGTTGCCAGATTGGAAATGTCCAAGTACCGTACCAGAAGCTCAGAATTATCGTACACGAGTAAAAACGTACAGAATACAGCTATTTATCTACTAGACTAGAACAACAACTTTTTGACACAACCTTCAAATTACCACAATAAATAACTATGCTAGCGCCCTATGAAATACGTTTTATTTTTTCTCAAATTCAAATTTTTTTTATTCCAAATTTAAATTTTTTTGGATTCTGTTTTTTCTTTTCCATTTTTATTTTTCTGGACTCCTTTTTAAATGGTTAAATTATATTCTATTAATCAAAAGCACATCTAATTAAATAATGAAACGTATACAATTCAACATCAAATCTATTAAAAAGTTTAACAAAAATTACATGTTTAGGGTCTTATGAAATGTTCTATTTTTTTCACCTTGTTTATTGTTACCAAATTCTGTGTTTTAATATGTCTAATTATTTGAATGCATAAAAACTACTTTTATTTATAGCCTTATGAAATTTTTTTTTTCTTTAGAAATTCTGCATTGTGTATTAAAATTTTTCTGGTTATCGAATGAAGGCATAACAAATTAATTAATTTGATCTTTTAATTAATGAAAATTAAACAAATGTAATTTTTTGGCAAACAAAGGGGATTTACAATTAAAATTAAAACATGGAAGAACTATTGTGATTATTCCTTAATAATTTTAGTAGTAGTAGTTGTACGTACATTCTACTGAACAATAGTAATACATTTCTGGCAGAAACTATGTATTTTTGACTCTCAGAGCAGTTCTGGGGATGTTGTTCATGTATTTATGTCCTATTTAGTGAGAAGGCAGATGCTGAAATCACCGCGAACGTCTGTGTGTAGTAAACAAAACCGCGTGACATTCATTGAGACAATAGACTATGATTCAGACAGACACAGAACATGCAGGATTTATATTTAAATAGCCTTTTTGCGGCTTAATATGTACAGATACTAGTCCATATCACGATTTAAGTGTAATGACCTTCCTTTGAATAATTCATCCAAACTTTGACAAATTCCGTGACATTCCACGTTATTCAGTAAATTCTGTTGACTGGATTCCACAATTCCATCCGTGTTTTCCGCATCGCGGAAATCATAGGGCCATAGGCCTACCTTGTGGGAAGGTCCAAACTCCACCTCTGAGTCGCTGTCATCAGAATCCTGCGTGTTGCCAGATGTTGAGGGTCCTGAGGTGTGCAGCAACCCATTTTGAGCGTCTGTAATGAGCCGATTTCATGGCTTTGTTTTGATGAGGTTGACTTTGGAAAAAACACGTTCTGAAATTTTGAAATTATCGTACATTATGGGATTTTTTTTAATTATTGATCGCACAGAGATCAAAATGATCGTACAAATACGATAATTATCGTACGTCTGGCAACACTGATGTGACTTGGGAAGAACGAGTCGTCTCGGGGAGTGAGTCGTTCAGTCGCGCATGCGCAACATCATATAGGTTCTGTACTGGAATTAGTCAAGTAGTTCACCTGTTTCGAGTCTTCGGGTTTTCCGAGTCGTTCGTTCATCACGTGACAGACCCATAAGCTTAACCTACGCAGTCTGAGCCGGAAAGAGACTTAATATTAATAACCAACTCTTTATTACCTTTGTTACAACATTCAGTGTTATGGAAAAGAACCATCATGACAGAAATTAACACATTTATAAACTGTAAGAAGTAAAAAGCTACAAATTTGAGACCAGAAACACATCACCTAACTGTAAGAGTAAATAATAATTATGATAATAATAATAACTATGCACCCGTTTGTAAGGAAGCTTGTAAACTAACTAATTTCTCTATCCAATGCTGTCACATCACGTGACAAAAGAACGAATGATTCGAAAGACTGGAGAGATGAACTAATCAATTCTCTTTCCGGCTCAGACTGCATAGGATAAAGCTTATGGGGCCGTCACGTGATGAACGAACGACTCAAACCCGAAGACTAGTGAGACTTCCCATCACTACTCTGAACGGCTCTAGCCCAAGCTGTGATATAAACGAACGCTATTGGCTATTTTAAAAAGGGGGCGGGGTTGCTTGATATGTCCTGCCCTGTCTTCCTGTTTCAGTTAAAATTACGTCAACACATAATAGAGTAACTCTGCGTGTTTCTAAGCATTTCAGGGCACCTTTAAATAGAACTAACACTATTGAAAAACTTTTTTGTTAATTAGAATAAAAATACTAAAATAAAATAATAAAATGTTAGATGAAAACCAAAAAAAACCCAAATGAAAATTAGAAATGACTAAAATACTTAATTTAGAAATGTAGCCTTCAAAAGTAAAAAAATAAATAATAATACTAATTTAAAATAAAAAAAATTAAGCTGAAGTTCTAAAATGACTAAACCTCAAATAAAAATAAAGCTAAAAATAAATATTTTTAAAAAATGACAATAAAATGAAAAAAAGCACATCAAATTATTCAAACTTGAAAATGAAAACTAAAAAATATAAAACTAAAAGCAAAAATAAATACAAATAGAATCATTAAAAACTTGAATAAATATTGTAATAATTTAGAATAATAATAATATTAAAATAACAGGTTAAAAAATTTTTGCAAAGGTACCATGAAATGTCATAAAAGTACTCCATATGACTATGATAACAAATACAAGCTTTGTGTGAAGAAAAGATGCAAATTACTCAATTTCTAAGCCTTTGCTTTAGCTCTCCTCCACGTATTCATCAGAGAAAGCATCGTCTGATTTAAAAAAAAAAGTCAGAGTGGTTTGAACTAAAACTATGTGAATTATCCCTTTAAGAATGCATCATACATAACATCTATAAGCTAATTAGTTGCTTTGTCATGGTGGTAAAAAGCATTTAATCAGCTGCAGTTAGTGTTAGGTAAGTGTTCTCTGGGTCAAAAGTTGAATGAGGCATTTGCACCGGGTTTGTTATGGACATGTTAGACCTTCACATCCACCTCTGCTTATGTGTGTTGACAGCTCATTGTGAAACCGCTCTGGTTGAAATGAGGAAATTACTAGGAAGACAATATCCTGGAAACAGGATTCTGCACAGCACCAACAAAACCGTGTGGTATTTCTATAAAAATTTCACAAACAACTTTTGAAAGTCATATAATTGGGAGGAAACTCTTTCTTAAAGGCCTCGCATTTTTGGCGACTATCTTTCCCTGCTAATGGCAAAGAAATGCAGATCCTTTCATGTTTTGTTGATAATCTCTGTCACTATCATTTTAATCTCACTGATATGATGATATTTGGATTGCATCATACAAGGCATGCTCTGTTTTTTTCCCAGCTGGAGCTCTGCACTGGAAAAAGTATGTCTTTTGAGAGTGTGAACCCGCTCAGATGTCACAAGCATGCAATTTTGATGAGCTGCAATGGAAAAAGCAGAATCATTCAGTGAGTGACAGAGAGTGCAAGAAACAAAGTTGCAGAGAGAGTTGAGAACAGAAAGATTAGAGAAAAAAAGAGAGATGGAGAAGGACAGAACGGGAAAGTAAGACCTTCAGTATTATAAATACCACCGTGAAGCATTACATAGAGTTTCATCAGAGATAGATACAATGTAGCCTGCTGCCACAACCCTAAGCTAACAAGCTGTCTTTGGATACTGCTGAGCCTCTGTTACATTTGGAGAAAGGATGATAAAAGCCTTCTGTAATACTATAATAGAGTTGAGAGGTGATGCAAAATAACATAAATCATAACAAGCGTCTTCTTAGCCAGCAGGCATAGACTAACATATAGTAAACAAATTATTTATAAATGTGAAAACTGTAAAAACAATTGTGTCCATGGAGTCTCTTTAAAGCAATAGCTCTTCCAAAAATAACATTTCTGTCATCATTTACTCACCCTCATGTCGTTCCAAAACCATTTGAGCTTCTTTCCTCAGTAGAACACAGAATGAGAACTTTAGCAGAACGTCCAAGCCGCTCTCTTCCGTATAATGAAAGTAGATGGGGACCAATCGATGTCAAGCTCCTAAAAGGACAAAAAAAAGCACCAAAATGTCATAAAAGTATTCCATATTGCAAGAAACATGAAATCTAAGATGGCATTCAGTTATAGATTCATAAAAAATATAATTTTTATGTTGAACCACATTCAGCTAGTGCTGTCAAACGATTAATCGTTATTAATCGCATCCAAAATAAAAATGTTTTTGTTTAAACAATATATGTGTGTACTGTGTATATTTATTAAGTATATATAAATACACACACATGTATGCATGTATATATTTAAGAAAAATATGTTATATTAAATATATTTACATATAATATAAATTATATGAATGTAAATGTAAACAAGTAAATACATCTAAATATGTTCAAAATATATACTGTATGTGTGTATCTTTGTATATACAAAATAAATAAACAGTACACACACATATATTGTTTAAACAAATTTTTTTTTAGATGTGATTAATCGTTTGACAGCACTACATTCAACATAAAAAAGTATTTAGCATGTAATTGTTTTATAAAACTAATAATTTAAATGAATGAATGAATGAATCAATACAAATCTATATTATTAAAAATACATTAATAAAAATAATACTACATATAATCATTTGAAAAAATACACTGTATTCATTAACAAATGCATAACTGTAATGTCAAAAACATTTGACATGCTCTTAGATGTATGTTAAATAATCTAATGTATGTTAAATATCTAAAGCTGTGTATCATTTTTCTATCTCACATACTGATATAAGCACAAACAACATCCTTGCCCTCCTTCCTCTCGATTGGCCGACAGGTTCACACTGAAATGTCATGACAAGAAGACATTCCGCAGATACCAAAATAAACAAGAGCAGAGCGCCACAACTTACAAAGACACGCTGCCATATAGAGGAAGAGAGCTACACTCAAACACACATTAAATTACCACTTTAGCTTGTTTCATTTGTAATTAAAGGGAAGACACATTTCAAACAATTACTTTGTTTTTGAAACTGAAACCTTTCTGAGTTGGAAAGTCCCCATGCATCATTCCGTGATGGTATCAACTAAACATTTATCAATCATTGACTAAGATGCCAGCCAAATGTTGGGGTAAAACCTGAAACTTATCTTGACTTTTGTTTTAATCACACGTGGTGTGATTAAAACGGCACTCAAGCCTGATTTTCTGCTTTTTCAGGAAAGAGACAATCTACATGCCTAGCACACTGTGGTTGTGGATGAATTGTTTGGGTTAGATATAGTTTTTAACATTCACTACAGATATAATGAGAAATATTTGAAAATAGAGGCGTGAATGTATACAGGCCTAAAGGAGCTAAAGGACTCTGTGGCTCCTTGCTTCCTGTTTCCCACTGACGCCTGTGGAAGTGCGGCCCTAGAGGAAATCCTTGTACTCTAGGATGGGCCTCTCTGAACTGGAAAGCCTGATAATTATATCCTGAGTCCTGACTGCTGTCCCGGCCCTGTCCCCTGGGTTCCCATTGACAAGATCTGGTCACTTCCCAAACATTCCTCTGCAGTCGTACTATATGGTCAGCAGCAAAGGCTAATAGATCAGATATCTGTACTAATAAAATGCAAGCTCGCAGAGGAATCTCCAAATGAGGGTGTCAGCAACACAAGAAATAGACAGCAGAATTTCTTTTGCAATACTATATATACAAATGAATATGACGAAACAGAACATATGAATAACCAGAAAAAATCCCTTTCAAGGGCGCATCAGTGTCAGATGCTTAAATACACACAGCAGAAGTCGTGGTTTCCCTAAATTCTGAAAAACCAAACCACCCACAAAAAAAAGTGAGAAAGAAACGGAAAAGCTGCAAAGCTCGTTGCTTGTTTTAACACTTCTCCTCTAATTTCCCAGCATCTTTGGTTATCATGTTTAATGATGGTAAGGATACTTTTTTTGCTAAGAAGACCAGATGGATAGAAACCTGTCTACACTGCACTCAAAAATAATTTTTTCATGCAAAAACATCTTAATTTTTAATTTATTAACATTTTGTTATTAATAATTTAGTGGAATATTGTTTTTGTCTCATTGTTTATTGTCTATTGTTAAGGTTTCATTCATTAACATTATTTAAGATGAACTAACAATGAAAAATACTTTTAAAGCATTTATTAATTTAGGTAAGGTTAAACATTAACATTAAAATCAAAAGTTGTATCTGTTCATATTTTGTGATGGACCTGAGCTGACGTAAACTAACAATGAACAGTGCTTTATTAACTAACATTAACTAAATAAATAAACAAACACTGTAACAAATATAGAATGCTAATTCTTTGTTGATAATGTTAACTAACATGACCTTATTGTAAAGTGTTATCAGTAAATCTAGTATGGAAACCAAATGTATGCTGATTAAGTAACAATTCTACAAAAATAAACTGGATTTTTAGGGACTCCCAATGAAAACTGCTGTCTAAGCTACAACTTTCCACATTTTGTAATGTCACTACAAAAGAATTCTTGCTTTCATGACAGTAACCGCCGAGCCACACCTTCCCTATGCGTCTCTCTCCACTAATGCTGGTCATCGGGGTGTGAAGAGTAAATCACATGAGCTACGTTATGCTAAACCTTTGTGGTCTCACAGACTGGAATTCATGCCAAAGTTCAGTCAGAAAAAATAGAAGTCAACATACAGCTGCCATTGCCTAAAAAACACACTCTGTGGTAAATGTGTTGACGTTTAAATCCTCCAAAATAAACTTCAAACATTTAGTTTTTTGCCCAGCTGCATGAGGAAGCAGGGGAAAACACGAGAGAAAGTGTCGAGGGACAATGGCAATTACTGAGGAAGGGCTTGCTTGTGAAAGCCTCTCATACTCCTCATCTCGGTGGGGTTTACTACATTACCCATGATTCTGCAGAGAAATCTCCACCAATCAGAGAATCACCCAAAAGTATGTAAATCTCACTCTACTTATATATTTGCATAATATACATATTTTGCAATAAACATAAAATATAGTTTCTATATATAATAATCATTTAATTCAAAAGTTTAATATTTCTCTTTTTATTTTAGTTAATTTTTATTTTATTTTCTATTATGTCATTTGCAATGCTTCATGGGATTGTAGTTCTTACCCTCATTAAAGCCCTTAGCTACACAGTCTTGTACCTTTGTCTTTTTGACTGAATTTCAAATACAAATAATTTTTTGCTTAAAGTTTGTAATGTCATGATTCACTTTGTAACTGGTTGGTTTGGTTAATGGCTTATAACTCAAGAATTTTGTAAAATTCTGTGAAATGATCAGTCTACAGCATTGCCATAGATCAGGGGTGTCAAACTCAATTCCTGGAGGGCTGGAGCCCTGCAGAGTTTAGATTCAACCCTAATTAAACACACCTGATCCAACTAATCAAGTCCTTCAGGCTTATTTGAAAACTACATGTTATGTGTGTTGGAGCAGGGATGGAACAAAACTCTGCAGGGTTCCGACCCTCCAGGAATTGAGTTTGATACCCCTGCTATAGATGATAGGGAATATTAGGAAATGCCACAATTGACCATTCAGAGACAGAGAGACACTTTTTTTTTCATGTCTATTTAATATTTGCTTTCTTGAATTATATTAAACGCCTATAAATTATATTAAATCAACTCAATTAATTAATCTGCATATTTTGTAATTCAAATAAAAAAAGTAATGTATTGTATATTAAAAATGTCTAAAAAGTACAGCTAAAAGAAACTTACAAAAATAGGTCATACCACAGAAAATGTATGACACTTTTAAAATGACTCATCAAGCACAGTTATGACTTTCCACTGTTGTTTCGCCCCCTGTCTGATATACTAAATAAAGTTCAAAACCTCTGGAGAGTTTCGGTTATTTCACTTACATATCACTACAGCATTAATGTAGAAGGACTCAATGTTGCGTTGAGAAAGTTTGAGAAAACTGTTGAGGCAAGCGATGTGTCGTCTGCTGGAAGATTAAGTAATCGTCTTTCTTAAATTTCCTCTAAATAGAGACTTTCTACTCAGCAGAATGGGAAGTTAATCAGTTAGGTACTTTTGTGTCACATTTCTTATACGTGATATTACATAGTGAACAAATTTGTCCAAGACACATGTTAGCTTAGCCCTTGCTTCTAATCAAACTGACATGTTCAAGCTGATACCTAGATTTGCCATGCACTGTATGTTACACAGGACTATAATAACCACATCGAGGGGACAACCAACAGTAATATGATGCAATCTACTTGAATGTTTTTGTCAATTTTTAATGTTTTAAATGGAAAATATAGCACGAAACATTTAGCCATTTTGCATTTGACATATAAGGCAATAAGAGTGAATGTATGCATATTTCAAAACTAAAACATTTGCAAACAATTCAAATGGATTACTTTACAAATAAATCGTATTCTTTTACTGTTCTTCTTTCTTTTCTTTATCCCCTTAAATACATTTAAAGTACATAATTATTTAATTAATTCAATTATTTAATTATTTCAAATTATTTCATAAAACAACTATTTACAACTATTCTATTTTATTTCAAATAATTATTTGATAAAACAATTATTTGATCAAATAATTAAATTAATGTTCAAGACATGGTTACGGTCTTAATTTTATAAAGGATTGATGCCAAGTGTGAAACAAGCATATAGTGTCATTTATCAGGCATTCAGTTATTTTTGTTTATTGGTTTTATTGCAGTAATTCAGCTGTTTGAAACCACAATCTACCTCAGTGACTCAGCAAATTATAATGCAACCTCAGTCTGTTTGCAAGTTCAGCAGGTCCACTAAAAACCTTCGTAATCATAATACTTACAGGCCTATATTTGTGATTCACAATGAATCCAACTGAACATACATCTTTTTATGGTGTTTTGAACTGTTCATCTAATGGTTGAGGGTCTACACTGATAAAACAAAAAAGTTCCCATGATTACAATTCTGCTATTATCGTTGAGCAATTCAAGATTAAGACTATATGGAACTGGCCCCAACATTAGTGTCCTTTAAGTTGGATGACATTTGCAAAATGCAACTAACTAACTGTAAATGCTGCAATCATACTAGGAAACAGAAAAGAGATAACAGACAGGCTGATCAGAATAAATTATGGTTTCCCTCACACATACACCCACCACATGCTGAACACCAGTTTCGACCCACTCACAAGATTACTGTGCAAATGACACCAGCTCTATTTTCATAGAAGCTCTTTTTGGTACACATAAGTGGAGAAAGCCACAGAAAGCTAATAAACAACACAACAGATACAGAGAAGCAGCTTTTCACTTATATTTAACGTCTAACAAACAGCACAAAAAAAAATCAGTCAAGCGAACTCACTACCTCTTAAGTAAGAAAGATTTCTTTCAAAATAAAGATCTGATGCGCTCTGTTAAGGAAGAAATCCTAAAATCGTCCAGAGTGAACTACATAAACGGGTGTGTGCATGTGTTATTTGACATTGTTTTAATGATCTCCATAGTGATGATATTTTTAATCATGTTGCATATTCAACTGTTCATCCGTGTATATCAAGCAATCTACTAGAAGCCTGGAGGGTATGTCAGTATCACTACTTCCAGCAGGATTACAAACTGCGCGCACCTATGTTTAGATTCGAAACTTTAGAGTTTGATGACTGTGTCAGCTAGCTTGGGTTACAAGCTGAAGTGCTGTGATCATTCAAACTGCACGTACACCCTAAAATGTATTTATTTCCATATTATATAAATATAATATATAAATACTTTGATTTTGATTGTAGATAATCTACTCACTTAAAACCAACTACAAAGTTGCTTAAAACCATAGTTTTTAAACCATTATTTGGCCACATCTTATCTTGCCTAGGCCACAAGCGAACAAAGACCGCCACTGGTGCACACTTAAAACAAATGACACCCATGACTAGAAGTCAGAACTGTTTCCTTAATGCTCAACAGCAAGTGCTTGAGGGAGAGAGAGAGAGAGAGAGAGAGAAAGAAAGAGAGAAAGAGAGAGAGGGGGGGGGGCAAATGGGGGTGTTACATGAGAGACACAAAGCCCAGTCCAGACGGAAGTATTCAATTTATTCAGGTCTCAGAACAGCTGCTGCCAAAATAGCTTAGTGATTAAGAGACCAAAGGCTTAAAAGGACAAAATCTTCCAGAGCAGCCAGACCTGGTGGTTACAGTCAACAGACGGCTGGATGGAACAAGCAATATAAACATTCAAGAGGTCATTAGTAATAAACCTGTGAGCATTGTTCATTTCAGTCAGCACTGTGTTGATGTTTCACACTAAATCCAGTTTCAGCCTGATGGAACATTTCAGCAACAATGTCTTATCTATAATTAAATAAATAAATATATCAATAAACCAAATATATATAGTAGTCAACATTTGAAGTGGATTAAAAAAGTTAATCAGAGCTGTCCTAAGACAAGAACACATTATGGTTTTGGGTTTTAGGACAACTTTGATGAAAGGTTTTGATCCACTTCAAAAGTTGACTAGTGTGTGTGTGTGTGTGTGTGACCCTGGACCACAAATTTTTTTTATTTTTTGTTAGGATAGGACAATCTTTGGTCGAGATACAGCTATTTGAAAATCTGGAATCTGATGGTGCAAAAAAATCAACATATTGAGAAAATCGCCTTTAAAGTTGTCCAAATTAAGTCCTTAGCAACACATATCTGGTCACTGATCAAAAATTAAGTTTTGATATATTTACAGCAGGAAATTTACAAAATATCTTCATGGAACATGATCTTTACTTAATATCCTAATGATTTTTGGCATCTATAATCTATAATTTTGACCCATACAATGTATTGTTGGCTATCTGTGCGACTTATGACTGGTTTTGTGGACTAGTATGTATATACATATGCAGTATTTTCTGTTTTTCGTATTCTTTATATTCATATTTCTGTAATAGTATCTATTTATCACAGTAAAAATGTCTTATATGTCTGACATACAAATAAGCTTATTATGCTAATTACACTCTATTCAAACGTAAAAGCTTCAGTTAGACCTATTCAAGAACTGTTTCAAACAAATAAAATATGTAAAGACTGTTGACTGACAAAGCAAGAAATAAAAGTTATAGCCATATTTGTGGATCCTTTAATGAGCCATTAAGAGGTCAATAAAGTCAATACACACACAATAGACATTTAAGCTTTGAAATCAGATAGGGCTGTTGGGCCCAACTACACAGAGAATGCTTAACTGCTGGAAATGAAAAGACTTGCCACTTTACACTTGTGATCTAGAAAGATAGGGTGGAGGTCTGTTTACAGAGGATCTCAGTGGAAACTTAAGCAGAATAAAGAGCATCCCTGAATACACACAGCAAAAACCGTTAAAGATTTTGAAAGAATCAAATGACTCAAAGTTTGGAGTTTATATTATAAATGCAGTTTTGTTTTTTTCCCCACAAAGCCACTTAACGCCACTTTAAGACATCTGAAAAACCCAAAACAGGAGCGCAAAGCCATTCGATGTGCCATTAAGTGCTCTGAGTAACTTGTTTATCTGAGAGACCACTCACAGCTGAGGAATTCAGACTTTCACAATCTTTTAAAAACACTGCGGATGATCCAGAGCGAGGCTTAAAAAAGGAAATAACCTGCTGATTTTCTGTCTCTCTTTAAAACACACGTGATGGTTTCATAAAAATAAAAAAACTTGCAACGGAGTGACACAATCTTCCAGTCAAGGCCTTTTAGCATAGGCTAATAACCAGAAATGAGCTGATTTCTGATCCTCTTCTAGTCCAAGTTGCTCAATACTCTTCTAAGCACTTGCTGCTCTGTGATGTATAATTGGTATGCTGATGGGAGAGTATTTTGGTTTTGGTGAGAAGTAAAATGAGAATCACCCACCCATACTCTCCCAAAACCACTCTGTATCTATTGTTAGTAATTACTTCAGGAGTTTCTTTAAGTTTACATTTCATCATATGCTAATCTTCACTGTAGCACCTTTTTCAACCTAGGCTCACTGGCAAAACATGTTTCTACCTACATTTAAAAAAAAACTCATTCACAGAAATGTATCAATTAATAAAGACTTATATTTGCATGTTTTCTTGAAAAATATGTTATGACTTCAACTAAAACAAACAGTTTGTGTTACATAGCTAGCTGCATATGAATGGCTTTTCTGATGTAGTAAACTTGCTCGATAGCTCACATGGTACACTTGTGATACAGAGAGCTCAACTACTGTGAAACATGAGCCACGATAAAACAGCGTAAATAATAATAGAAACAGGCTAAAATGGCATTGATGCATCATCAAATGCACTTTTGTTAACATTATCAGCTATTTTTAGGGTAAAGTTTACTGTAGGTTATTTTCAAATGCGCTAAGGCATTATCGCCACTCACAGGACATTTTGTGTCCAGAACTGTCATGATATGTACAACAATGTTATAAAACATTGCCAAATTCACTTAGTTTTGGATAAAACAATGTGCTTTTAGTGCCACTCACTGAACATTTAATTTCCAAACTTTTGCAATACATACAACAACCAACATAAACGTTTCCAAATTCATGTTCGTCTGTTTTGGATAGAACTCAACTTGCTTTTAGCACCCCTCACTAGAGATTTCAATTTAAAATTGCTGTAAAAGGTTTGAGAAACAACATCAGGTCACTCCACAGGCATGTTTTTCAAAAGTACCATGGGTTGATCTTTTCTGTAGTTTAATTGAAATCAAAATGTTAAAATGGTTCAGTAGCCTATAAGATAATATTTGTGTCTGCTCTTACCTTCCGAAAGAGTTACAGGTTCAAATAGTCTTTGAAGTGTTTCTGTTATTCTAATGGCATTGCTACTAACAAGATTAGCCAGTTAGTTGCGGAAGTGGTGTAGCACGTCCTCTAGAGAGAGATCTGGAAGCTTATAGCATAACCCACTCAATCAGACAGCTAATCCAATTAGACTTTGATATGCAGGTCTGCCCCTTTTCGTAAACTAGGCTAATTCAGCGACGTGTCTGTGGTTGAGTGTATTTGTGTCTGCGTGTGAGAAAAACTGATGCAGAGCCAATATGAATAGGTCAGCATCTCTTTCATCAAAACCAACTGAGATATAAAGAGAACAAATGTGCCCTTTCTGCCCAAAGGCTGTCATCAGCTGGTGGAAACTGGAGGGAGGATATTCATGACTTCCTGATCACTTAGGACCAGTGCTTCCATGGCGGTAAACCACCATTAGTGTCCATCAAGATGAGACAGAGCCTTTGTGAGGACATTGCCTGTTCCCATGGTAACAATATGTCTCAATCCAAAATGTGTGACATCTGTGTAGACACAGACAGGAAGGAGATTTCTTGGAAATAAAAGTCATATTCATCCTAACAATTCCCTCTCTGTCAACACGCAGAGAAGCTGTGCTACACTTTTAACTTTCAGATGGTGATATTAAAATGTTGTGATTCAGCTATGGCTGTCAAACCGAAGGATCACATTTTAAGAAATCCCCTGAATATCCATCCATCTATTTAGTACATTTTGAACAGTTGCATCTGGTGGCTCGAGGTACAAGATAAACGATAAAACGCACTGTGCAACAAAAACGTTTCCATTTTAAGGAGTGGTTGGTCTCCCACTCAGGCCTCTGATGGTGGAACAGCCCAGGAAACCTCTTTCCACCCACACACACATGAAACCTCTGACTCAACTTGAAACCATGAGTGCTGTGGAGGCATCCTGCTGACTGCCTGGTGCACCCTGCCTCAGGTTACAGGGTCTGCAACCAGCATAGTGCAGGTCATCTATGAGATAAACATGTAGTGTACTAAATAACCAGTACACCAGCAATAATATAGACTGAAATCGAATAATGCAAAACGCAGCTGCAAAACTTAATATGGAATTAGGTTAAGATTAGCTCACTGAACATGCCTTAGAGGAAATTTACCTCAAGGAGGTTTAAATGAGTTTCATGCCATTTAACATCTTGAATAAAACGGACCTAAAATGAGACAATTGTTGACCAACGGTAAGTGGTAAAATGTATATGGACACCATAAAAATGTAGAGAATTTAATGGAAATGTTTGAGTTCATATTGAAATGTCTGACTTTTGGTTTCTCTGCAAACGTGAACACAGTTTGAGGCATTGTTGAGATCCCTAGAAGAGACCTGAGAAAAGAGAAACATGTAAACTCCATTATTTCTGTTTAGGAGAAACTACACATTCATTTTCTATGGGTTCATATTTCGTATTTTGCTCTATATTTGTCATCTACCTGCATGTCGCCCTGACAGACATTTGATGTGCAACACCAACACTGGTATTGAGTCATACACAGGGGTGAGGCATTCATCTTCACAACGGCAAAAAGAACAAACTTAACGTGTATATATATATAGCAACACATATAACACGGTTTTCGCTCGCTTTAATGTACATTCACACGATCTATTACATTACTTTGTTTATTTCCTGCGTTATTTTCCCTCTCCGTTGAAATTCAATAGGAGGCTATATTGATAGGCTACATATTCGCTGCTTTTGAAACCGTCAAGATGTCGTGGTCAGTTTAGCGGTGTTTACTGCGTAACATTGGCTAAATATTTCCATTAAACGCCACGCGTTGTGTTTGCAATCCACCCCTTGCAAACTTCAAAAGTAGTGCGTACTATTGCGAAGCTCTGTACTAGATGTCGTCAGACCTGAGGGGCGGAGCCAAGATGTCGCAATCTTACTAAGAACAGCATCATCGAGTCAGGCTGGTGAGACACACTGAGCATATTAGACGTGCCCAGCCAAAGTGAGACTTTACAGACAGACGGTCAGGCTGAGGGGCCACGTCTGATTTGTGATCTCATTATTAAAAGGACCTTTATTTCGGCAGCAACAAAAGACCAACTAAAGGACTACTTTTTCATTTCTGTGCTGTCACCAACTCGGACGCGTCCTCTAAGCTAGTTAAACTTTCTTCGGACAATTCCTTGTGTGTCGTATCGCAAAACTTACAGTTAAGTGCGTCTGACAACGTTTAATCAAGTTTTATTTGTCCGGTACTCACCGTGAAAGATCTAAAACTCTACCCGACCACCAAAGGACGTTATACCAACAGTGAAAATCAAGATCCAAGGAAATATTGTCCATGCAGGACGCGTTCATTCAGCGGGAATAAGGAACAAAGACATTCGTGCCAACGACTGAAGATCTCTTGGTGTTGCCGCCAGACTCACAAGTATCAATTTGCTCAATCTCCAGGACAAAGAAAGGGACAGAACACGCATGGAAAAAGTCTAAACGTGCACGAATATCTTCAAAACGCGTTGAAGCCGGAGATACTTTTCAAATCACCTAACGTTACTGTATAAGGCACGCGCCTCCTTTCAAACTGACTCATATTTATTCTGCATTCATTGGAGACGACATTTTCTTTCTTATGCCGAGACTTAACTACAGCTGACAGTTTCTCAGTGTCCATTTCATAATAGTGTATGTTTTCCCCGGTGGAAATGTTCTCTGACAAGTAGACACAACTAAGTGCGCCTGTAGTTTTCATTGTTCTGTTTTTGAGAGGAACGGGTCCTTTGTCTAAGCAGCGAGGTAAGTCCTGCAAACCTTTAAGCGTCACATTAACCTCTAGAATCACTATTTAGTACAACCAACCAAGAGTCCTTAAGATTAGTTCAATTATTGATCACCTTTCCCATTTAAACGATTATTGAGAAACACTTTGTGGTTAAACTTTACATGGAAATTGATGCAGCGTATGTTGTTGTTTGAACCTTAACGTTACTGTATAAGGCACGCGCCTCCTTTCAAACTGACTCATATTTATTCTGCATTCATTGGAGACGACATTTTCTTTCTTATGCCGAGACTTAACTACAGCTGACAGTTTCTCAGTGTCCATTTCATAATAGTGTATGTTTTCCCCGGTGGAAATGTTCTCTGACAAGTAGACACAACTAAGTGCGCCTGTAGTTTTCATTGTTCTGTTTTGGAGAGGAACGGGTCCTTTGTCTAAGCAGCGAGGTAAGTCCTGCAAACCTTTAAGCGTCACATTAACCTCTAGAATCACTATTTAGTACAACCAACCAAGAGTCCTTAAGATTAGTTAAATTATTGATCACCTTTCCCATTTAAACGATTATTGAGAAACACTTTGTGGTTAAACTTTACATGGAAATTGATGCAGCGTATGTTGTTGTTTGAACCGTGTCAACTTGGATATCATATCCTATCTCTTGAGCATTTTGAGCATATTACTTAAATCGTTTATTCAGCTGAGAACTCTGGTGTAATGTTTTACGTTTATGCTAAAAACCGCTGGCTCTGGGGATTTAGGTTCGAGTCCGACGTGACCTGGGTCAAGTTCTGAAACCTCACACACACGAACATGTGTAAAAAATAGTCTTCTAAACAAAAACGAAAAATACTAATATTTTTAATAGAAAAAGTTGGTTTAAAATATGGTGAGGTGGAAGAAACTAGGCTACGTCATTGTATGACGTACGCTTAAATGTGTAATAACCATAGACTGTATGATAATAACTGTATGACTCACAGGCGCCGAGCAGCATTTCGAAAAGAACTTGAGTCAGTATGATCGAGCAACCCTGCTCATCACATAGTCATTCAACAGTTTTAAATTACCTTCTTTCATTACACAATATCAACGAACCTCCCATTCTTGTTGAGTTAGTTAGTTACTGTGAGATATTATAGTGTTGAAGTGTGGCGCAATAAAATCAAATGCACTCATTTTGATCAATTTTCCTTTTCACCTTTGTGCATAGACTCTTCATTCTTCATCCAATATGCCTTTATGGTACGTTAAGTCATGCTGTCACAAGGTCATGAGCTTACCCAGTCTTGTTTTTGTCACAGATGAGTATGAACCTGTCAACTCCTACACCTCCACTGCGACTGAAGCGAGTAGACTTTGAGGACTCTCACAACACCGATACCTTTAAATGCAAGCGCCGCAGACTCAGCCAGCCTCCATCCCCGGGTCTCGCGCCCTGTCTTCACCCCCTGTCCCAGAGCCATGAGCAGCCGGGCTCAGAGAAGCACCATGTCTCGCGTATTGGGCCCTACATCTTGCTGGAGGCCACAGAAGGAGCTCAGACGTTCAGAGCGGTTCATCAGGTCACAGAACAGGAGTACACATGCAAGGTGAGCATAGATGCTTCATTATAGTGGATTTAAAATAGTTTCTGTTAATATAAGTTGATGTAGTGAGGGATCAATAATCATCTTGTTTTGGTATGTTGCCACCAGGTGTTTTCCATTAAGAAGTATCACGAGTTCATCGCACCCTACACACGTCTGCTTCCACACAGCAACATCTGCAAGATCTCAGAGGTGGTGCTCGGGGAGGCCAACATGTACACATTCTTCGAGCGTAACTATGGAGACATGCACTCATACGTGCGCACCTGCAAGAGGCTGCAGGAGGATGAGGCAGTGCGCCTGTTTGGCCAGATGGCAGCCGCGGTCGCGCACTGTCATGAGAACGGTGTCATTTTAAGAGACCTTAAACTGCGCAAGTTCGTGTTCACCGATCCACAGAGGTCAGTAACTTAGTATTTTATTCTTTAATTACTATACTAGCTAATTAAGTCAAATCTGCTCTTGGTAGTAGAGATGCATAATATTAAACGCCAGCAAATATTTTTTTGCACAGTATTGAATTTAATTAATTGCGCATTCTCATTTCCCCTATTTTTCTTTTAAATTACCTTAGTTGTTTAATGCTAACTAAATGCTATATATTTTTTAAAAGCATTAATAATTTAACATTAGCAAATCTTAAAATATCAATTTTTTTATTGTTGTAATGCTAAATTTAATTGTAGTATTTAAAATGACTTTTTTGATTTAAACAGTAAAGAATTTTAATATTGTTATTTACATAAGAAAAATAATAATTGGCTTATTGGTATTGGACAGAATTTTAATATTTTTATTGTCATTGTTTAGGTATAACAAGATCCATAAAGGTGTCAGTTAAATTTAAATACATAGTATAAACAAACTTTTATATTAACTACTATATTAAATAATGTATAAATGAATTATAGATTAATATAAAATAAATAGTTAAATAATAAAAAATGTGTTAAAACATAGCAATTTAAAGTGTTTTTTAAGTGTATAAAATATTAGATCCACACTAATTACAATCTGCAGGATTTGCGTTGGTGTTACCTTGTCTTGCTCATTTAGCAAATATTTTCCAGTATTTTTAACGCAGGAGGTAGTTATCAGGTGGCTGATAGATGCTCTTTTGTTTCCTCAGAACAAAGCTGGTCTTGCAAAACCTGGAGGACTCCTGTCTTCTTAACGGGAATGACGATTCACTGACGGACAAACATGGCTGCCCGGCCTACGTCGGCCCGGAGATCTTAAACTCACGGCACTCGTACTCAGGGAAGGCTGCCGACGTATGGAGCCTTGGTGTGGTTCTCTACACCATGCTAGTAGGACGTTATCCATTTCAGGACGTGGAACCCACAGCACTGTTCAGCAAAATTCGCAGGGGTGCGTTCACCATCCCGGAGACTCTTTCACCCAGGGCTAAGTCACTGGTGTGTTGCATGCTGAGGAAGTCTCCCTCGGAGAGGCTCGAGGCTGGAGATATACTCTTCCACCCGTGGCTCCACTGTAACAACAACGTATCCCTCAACCAGCACTCCAGCACCAGACACTCGACAGATCAGGTGGTGCCTGATTTTGAACCAAATGAGAATGAAGATTGTTAATGAGCTGCTTCATTCTGTTTACCCACAATCAGGGGGATTGGACTCTATGGAGGAGAGATTGCCTCGTAAGGTATGCAGAGTTCAAGGGCATCAATTGGAAGAGATTCCAGAAACTACGACAGTACTGTTTTTTTACCTTGTGAGGAACTACTGAGGTGTTCATGATGGGCCAGAGACTGACCATGTAGTCTTTACAGACAGAAGTAACAGTGTTTCTTACCTCTGAAAATACCAATTTGTGGTGATCTCTCCAAGAAAACGACACCGGAGGACAAAAAATGCTGCTTTCCTAGCAGACGTTAGTTCACGGCACAGCTTCATTCCTGAAAGAAAGTCATGAGGCTCGTGCACATGATTTTAACATCAGTATTGTCTAATCAGTGCATGGATTTCCCATTGTACACCCATGTTGTGTAAATTAAAGTACCTCTAACTTAATTCCTGGTATACTTGATGCACACTTTGTGCCTTTATGTACTGTTTACATACTTTTGCAGTGGAAAATACAGATTTGACTATTTAAAGTGCCTTTTTCCCCCCCAGAAAAACAGCCAATGTTGTTGTTGTTGGACTTGTAAGAAGTACCAAAGATTTGAGTTTTTCCTCCCCCAGTCTGAGCGTGTGTATCTGCAACGGGTCAGCACAAGTGCTCGTGTTTCCTTTTCATGTGAAGAATTCAAAAGAGTCTCTTTTGTAAATGTCTTTCCATCTGTTAAACTATGTATTTGTGCTGTAGAGCAGGTTTAACCCTGAAGGGATGTGGGGCAAATCATGCGCCACAGGAAGCATCCATATAATGGTTTAGAGGTGTGCCTGTTGAGCGAAACAAAGGCTTTACATACGTTATCGTTTGTGATGCCTGCATGCAATGCTTTCACCCTTTTTTCGTTAAAGTACCTGTCATTTTGTAGATATCTTTTTGTTACTAGCGAGAAGTGGACACTACATTTGTTGTTGTTTCAAGGGTTGACGTACCTACAAACAAGTATTTTGTTGTTGCCAGTACAAATAAAATGAAGAAAAAAAAAATCTAAACGGCATTGCTGCTTATTAATGCTTCACGTTCAGTACAAAAAGCAGTACTTTTTTTTTTTTTTTTTTATCTCAGCAGGGTTTTGTAATAAGAACGTGTGTTTTCTGAAGTAAAAATCGCAATCAGTGCACAGTAAGTCAGTAAATATTTATTTGACATAGCATTTTGAAAATAACAAATGCTCTTTAAAAGAATATTCATAAAAATGTGTTAAGCTGCCAAGAAGGAAATGTTAATGTATCATTAATGCATAAATCTGCATCCAATGGGACTCACCCTTGATTTTTTTCAGGATTATTACTCAAAACATTTGTAGAAATAACCTATGAAGTTAAGAGCAAAAGTGATCTTACATCTTTCTGCTCGTATCCTGTTCTTATACTGGTGCAATGCTGTGATACATCAAAGTGCTCAAAATTACAAACATAGATGGGTCACAGTCAAATCTAAAACAGAAAAGGAATTCAGTAAGATTGCAACTTCACCACATATGGCCAGATCTTCTAGAGGCCCTCCAACACACAACAGCGGACAACATGAACTATAGCGCTCATCACGAGTAAGTGTTATTTATTCAAGCCATAGTAGAAAGACTAAGCAACAGCACTGAATCTGATCAGACAAATTCATTCACTATCAAGCTATATGTCAAGCGGGATGTAATAAAGTTAAGAGAGCCACTGACACCCACTCAAAGTTTATAGATAATCAATATCCACAGAACCATGTTAGATCTACAGCTATAAACACATCAACAAACACTATCAAGAGTCAAATGTGTTGTCAGACAACAAAAAATAAGTCACCACAAACAAGTCTTCATAGAAGAAAGCAGAACTGCAATGTTTACTTCATGTTATACACCTCACAAATGTTACGAAATCCAAATAAAAACCAGTAACAAAAAATAAAAGCTTTATAAAAACTAAACTTTACAGACCCATCATGGTTTTCCTTTCACATATGTATTAGCTTTGGGGGCGCAACTAAAAAAGGAAGTTGATCCATAGGTTAAGACACCAATAAATCTACTGGGCGATGTTTACGCTGATATCCGTTTAAATATAATTTTTTCCTGAGGCAAGAAAGTTGCAGGAAAACATATTAAATCCTACAAAACAAAATGACGCTCATCCATTAACTTCTACTGTAATTAATAGAGAAAAAAATCAGTGGGATGTTGATATAAGAAAAATGAGTTATAAGCATGTATAGGCCTCACAAACATGGAAACTCAAACTAACATTTAAATGTGAACTATGACTTACAATCTCTTAATTTCATGTAATGCTCAAAATGCATTAAAACTTCAAATAAGCTCCAAAAATCTAAAATAAAATAAACCAGTAAAGGATAACCAGAAGATAAGGATGTTGAAGGATGCCACCTAGTGGAAATACTGTTGTAAAGTTCTTGGAGCCATAAAAACTAGTGGAAATAATGAACATGAATAAATGAATGAGGGTTAAGTAACAAAAAAATAAAATAAAAAGACGAGAGAGGGAGAAAACAGACAGAGAGAATAAACCTTATATACTTGCACTCAGATACAAATAAAATAACCTCTTTGGAAATGTACAATGGCAAGTAAAAATATCATAACACATGTTCCCTCCAGTGGAATTCAGAGGAACATTAAGAGAATGCAATGGAAAGTACACAGAAAAGTAAAGGAAAATGCTTAAGTGCAATGAATAGCACTCTCTGGATTACCACATCTCTCCATTCTTAAGCAATGACCAACAATATATAAAAATGGAATAAGAAACAGAAAATAATTACAGGCAATTAAAACTCAGGCAAGAGATGCTGGCTTCAGGTGACAAGGAGGAGGGCTTCATCAGGCACACAGTGCACCATACCTGTGGAAAGACCCCTCAATCTATCATTGACTTCAATGACACAAGCTGCTGCTTGTCAGTCTGGTAATATCAGAGTAATATTGTTTAAAGTTACACTGCAATGTTACTTTTGGCTGTTGGCCATCCACTAGCAAATACACTGGAACCACAAGATTTATTTGCAGTCATTTTTCTGTCAAATCTGAATGATGATAACGCAACAGTCATGGGTTTTCATGATGCAGCACTTTCTGGAGAAGTGATAATAAATAATAACGGTGCAGTTCGCATAGTTCCTCACCTCTCTTCATCCATGTTGCCCTCTTCCTCTTCCTCAAAGCTGCCCTCATCTAACTCCAGATCCAGTTCAGTGCCGATACCAGAGTCTCGTGGAGCCATGAAAAGACTAAAGGGATCACAAACACAAAAATTCAGAGCTCAATGGATTTTTTTACAACTTTTTTTTCCTCCCCACATTGGACCAGCTGATCTTTAATAATAATAATAATAATAAATACAGCTGCAAGCAGCGATGGCGGGCCCAAGCCGTCAGTGCAAACACCACCCCGGAGGCATCAGGAGAACGGTGCACAGCGGGCACATGCATTTACACTAACCGTCTGGCAGTCTGGTTTTAAGCGATACGGCAATTAAAGGGTTAATCCAAACCATCAAGACTGTGAAACACACATACACAGAACAATATATAAAACTTTAGTAACACTTTACAATAAGGTTTCAGTTATTAACATTAACTATATTAATTAACATGAACAATAATTATATAGCATGTATTAATGTCAGTTAATATTCAAAACTTAAACATTAAAACAATTGTTAACAGTTTATAATAACTGCACACTATGAATCATTAATTAATGATTAGTAAATAGTCAATTCATCCTTTATAAAGCATTGTTCCAACATTAAAAGGCACTAGTAAGCAGTTTATAAATACAGCTATAAATGTTTTGTTCTTGAGTATATGTATAATGTTTAATAATTGTATTTTCATCGTTTCTAAATTATTACGTTATTTACAAACCAGTTATTTAGGAGTTCATATGATCATTTAGAAAGTGTATGTAAATGATTAATAAACTATTTAAATGTACATTTATAAATCGTATTATTTAAACACATGATAATAGTTGCTCAGTGTATTAATTAATGCTTTATTAACACATTCCTGCTGTAACTCATGATTAGGTCAGGTAGTTATAAAACATTTAGAAGCTGCCAGCCATCTATTTTTGGTAGAAAAAGTTTGGTGTATATAGCGTAATTTTTCTCTGAGGAGTATTCATTAATTCACAGCTATATTTTCCCAATAATCCACATTCAAATCAATATAGCCGACTTCCTGTTGGTCGTAGCTAATGACTGTAAATTAGAAAGTTGTCTGGCTTGATGAGAACAATATATGTCCCAAGTTTGGTGACTGTAGCTAAAACTAACCCCCCAAGTTTTGTCAAAAGGTGGCGCTATAGAGTGCCTCTTCCACGCCCTTTTATGAGCTTTGTCCAGTGTCTATCTATCATTAATACTGATATGAGTGTTGAGTTTCATGAAATTCTAAGCATGTTATCTGCAAGAAAATCACCAGAAAAGAATATTCAAGTTTGACACGTTGCCATGGCAACAATATTTCAGATATCAATATCCCCTCACCAGTTTTACATCAGCAGAGTTTTGACATTATTCTGAAGAAGTTTGAAGCAAATCGGGTAAAAATAAGATGATGAATTAAAAGCATTTTGAAAATGACACAC